CTGCACATTCAAGTGTAGACAGACAGGTGTTTGTTGGCTGTGTACGAATTACATATTGACTTGAATTACTGGTTTTTAACTGCACCTGAAAAACAGCAAACTCTGGTAAAACAAACTGGTCAGGAGAGCAAATAAGATACCTATTATCTATACCAAGCAAAACACATCCCCTTTCCCTCTGTGGTCACTTGCCTTCTTTTTGCTGTTTGGCTTCCCAATAGACAACGACCTTATGCTACTGTTAAGTGTAATACTGTAATACGTGTGAGTCACCATAAGAAACAAAAACTGCACATATTACTGTACAAACATGTAAAGGAAATACAACTGTTTCCTAGAGAAAGACTAAGTTAAATATTAGCAACCACAGATATTCTATAACAAAAATAAAATTATTATTAAAATCATTAAAATTATTCAAGCATGCTTGTTTTATTGTACACTTTAAACACATACATAATCCCATGCAATGTACAATGGCAATACAGTCACTAACACTATATACCTTGGCTAAATATTATTTGTCAAGTTCTGGATTAAAGACTTCTTGAAACTACATTTATTCATATAATGTACTAGGTCACTGATTAGGGCTATTTGCTTACCTACATCATGTTTGAAAATTATTTAATGGTTCTGCAATATCAGCAACATTCCTAACCAAAAATTCTCAGTTTGTTTTCCAAAAAAATTCTAGTACAGCACTAAAAAACCTGATGAATTATTATAAAAGAGCAAGGGGGTTTTTTTAATCTCATCCCAAAAATTGCCTTTTGAGTCTTCCTAAAAAAATGAGTGACGGATCCCCATGACCATTATCCTATTGGTCCCATTTTGCTTGCCAGAAGTCTGTCATCATTTCTCACTTCATTCAATATTTTCCCCTTTCACTTTTCTCATTTTCGTTTCTATTCATGTTTCATTTTCCTTCATCTCTTTTACATGCAAGTACCCATTCTTTAAAGTCAAGGATGCTCATTTGTAAAAGGAAAATTCCAAGCTGCTGAAGAAACATGAATGAGTAAGATCAAATTCCATTGGTTTATCTGATCTCAATTTAATGGAAATAAAAAATAGGAAAATAAAAAGAAGGCAAGAAGAGAAGAGGAAAAGCACTCTGGAAAGTACAAGTAAGTTAGCTATAAAAGCTCAATCTACTCAAATACAAGACAAGACAGAAAAATGTAGCCTTTATCAACTACCTTCTTTAATTTGGTATTGAAAAACAAGAAAAGAAAAACTGATTTAGGAGACAAAATGTAGAATTTGGACATCAGTGTATGTAATGAAATTATAAAGAAAATTAAAAATTAAATTAATATTTTCATTTGTTATTCCTCAAGGTTTTCTTTGGTTTTATTCTTCCTCTTCTGTCACCATGTACAGGTCTTCATCACAAGAGAGCAGGAAGGTTAGTTATTTGAAGTATACAGAAATCAATGCTGCATGAAGCTTATAGCCCCTACTCAGAAACCCTTAGACAGGTATAAAAACCAGGGTGAACTCAGTCCATCATTTCTCCAACATGTACCCTGAGCAGCAAAGCAGACATACACTCACACCTTTTCTTAACAGCTGACAGCCACATTCTTCACAGAGTATCTCTACAGAGGTCGAAACTGCCTGATGGACTACCTGCAGCACACAGGCATCCCCCTCCTCGGACTGTGCCTTAAGGCACTTTTTTCGTGGAGTTTGGGAATAGTTGTGTCTGCCGCTTTCTATACTTCGTTTCTTGGATGTCATGCTAAAAAACATTTACAATAATCAGCACTCCAGAGAAAGAAAAATTATTCATGATTGCAAGACAACTTCTACAGAGAAGAAAAGCTGCCTGCACTCTGCTGCACAATGGGAGCCAGTAAGTCTGTAAGTTCAGCCCTCAAACAACAGACAATGTATAGAAGGGTAACTTTCTAGTTCTAATAGCAACAGTGGCAGCAACCAAATTCCTTCTTTCCTGGAAGAACATGAAAGGATGGAAAAAAGTGACGCCCATCCATTTTTCTGAAATATTACATATTCCCTGGGATGAGATTAAAATACCACAGACAGTGGAGGAGATAGAGGAAGAATATCCAATCACAACAACTTTCTGCTACAGTTTGTCTCTTTGGCTTCTTTCAGTAACACTGTACCCTGGTCTTTAATCCAGAGCAGCCCAGTACCTAAATAAGTGATACTGAGTCACCTGAAATACAGTCAGGGTAGCCTTCATCTACGGCAAACTGGACAGGCGCACCACAGTTTCTATCTGAAACCAGGGACATTCACTGAATCAATAAAACACACAGTGCTCTGTCAACTCACAGCATAAACTGAATGCTAAGACAAAGACAAAACAATACAGAAACCAAAAAAAATTAGTATGGTTAATACTTATTTCAGACAAGGAGCGATCATCTTCTGGAAAAAAAAATGCCTAGATACATGAAACATTTACTGTTCTCAAACTTGACTGGGTAGCAGGATGACTTCTGTCATTTTCAGCCAACAGGTCTAAAACTTGTCTTGCCTTTTGTGCCGTTAATAATTTCAGGCAGGGTATTGCAACAGCTTCATGCAAAGGACATACGGATTCCTTGTCTGTCACCTGCATATCTCAAATCCAGGTGAACAAGTTTAATTCAGATTTAGAGAAATGTTCGTCTCCAGTAATTTAAACGAAATCACATTATTTACCTCTTACATTACACTTTAAAAACTCAGAATGAGTACACATAAATAACCTATTTAAGTACATTTCAAAACAACAATCATGGTGTTTTACAAGCACTTCTCCATAAAATAACACCACAACACAACAATTCACTTTTCTTTTGCTTCAAAATAATTTGCAAATCATATGTACACTTTGAAATAGTATCAGTTTCTAACAAAATATAGCAATGTCAAGTTGGAAAAACAGCAGCCGATTTAATACCACTCAATAAACAATAACATAAGACAGAAGATGGAAACTATCTCAACCAATTCAAACTAGTGGAATTTATTTAAACTGAATGCAATTACTCGCTGGAATTTAGCCAGGACACTGAAATGAGTGTATCTATCCTCTGTAAGTTCAAGGGAATTTGGGGACTCAAGTTTCCAAGCCTTCAAAAGTATGAAGTAACCCATAAAATCAAATTTTATTTCTACTGTAACTCAACACCTGGGGTTTCCAAAAGCCTGAATTTCAGCAATTCTCACAAAACTGTTACATTAACTTAATAAACACTGGTTAATCTGCCAATGCACCACTCATTTAGCAAATGCTACAGCCTTTGAGCATTTATGGAGGATTTGAACCACAGTAAAAACAGTGACCCTTCAGTGTTTCTCAGGGCTGAGTTTTTCTTCCAGGGCCTTCTTTGGACATGACCCAGGCAAGTGACAATACCAGCTGATCCCATTCAGCTGTTCAAAACTGATGGAAGAAGAAGTGTTGCCTTGATGGGGCCAAAGACCCACTGTTTGAAACTTTGAAAATTTAAGTCAGTAAAAACAGGAAACTGATTTCTGCTTTTATTTTAAATAACACAACTGGAGCTCTTGCAGAAAGTGCTCTCCTCAGTCCTCTCCTTAATATCAATATACTTACCTTTCTACCTTTTCTATGCCAATTTCTTCATCATTACTCTTACTAGCTTACTAGCTTTACTCTCCAAACAGAATCCAGTATTATGCAAAATTATATTTGGAAAACAGTGCATCACCAATTACTCAAAAAACCTACAAATTTAGTACACCTGTCTCACAGGGCACACTAAACAATTCTTGCCTGTCCTGTTTTCTGCAATAACACTACAAGCATCTCAAAACAGGCAACAACATATTCTTCTGTGGCTTCTGTGAAAAAGCTAGTACTTAAGATCTCTCTTTTACCTATGTGTCTTTTCAAAATATGAATTTCTTGTTTGGGAACTAATCTGCTCAACTCTCCAAGAATGAAGTAAGCAACTACCATCTGTCCTCCTGCTTAACATAGGCAGTAGTTATTGTTCATGTGTTCTATTACTTTAATAAATATCTTTCAGAAGTTTTTTAACCTGACTCAAAAGGCACAAAAAAAATCCCAAAAAGAGTACAACCATATCCTGCCATCTTTCCTGCCCTTCTAGAAACTAAGAAAAAAAAATTGCTTTCAAGGTGCTGAGGAGGAAGAGAATTTTTTGTGTTCTATGGCACAAACAACCTCAGACAGATGATGGGTGTCAGGTATGGGAAGATTTTTCACTCAGTATCTAGTTGGCACAAGCACCTTCTACCTGTAAGCCAAAACAAATTTCTTTTTTATGAAATTTCATGCAGTTAAATAAAATTACCTTTCTGCCAGAGAAGATAGCCTGAGTAAATTTAGTCTCAGCATGCTACTGAAATTTAAATCAAGAATATAAATAAGTTATTTTGTTCAAAAACTTGGCTTTAATTTAAAGTGACATCTTAAGAGCACTCTGTTTCTAAAATACTGGAGGGAATAACTGCCATGCAACTGTTACAAATGGACAGCCGGAAAAAGTATACAAAGCTGTCACAAAACCCTCTATCCACCTTGCATGACTTTGACAACTCTGATGACTGGAAAAAGAGAAATATAGCCCCCATTATTAAAAAAGGGAATGCAAAGGACCTGGTGATCTACAGACCAATCAGTCTCACCTCTGTGCCAGGCAAGGTCATGGAGCGGATGCTCTTGGAAACTGTGTATGATGGTGCGACAACACTGGTGGATGGGGCAGAGCAACTGATATCGCCCACCTGGACTTATCCAAAGTGTTTGGCACTGTGCTGCATGATATCCTATCCAGTCTCCAAACTGGAGAGACAACGATTTGATGGATGGGCCACATGGTGGATAAAGAACTGGCTGTTTAGGTGCACAGAAAGAGTTGTGGTCAACAGCTCTTTGTCCCTGTGGAGACCAGTGAGGAGCGGTGTCCCTCAAGGGTCGGTACTGGGACCAGTACTGTTCAACACCTTTGTTAGGTTCATGGACAGTGGGATCAAGGGAACCCTCAGCAAGTTCACTGGCAATACCAAGATGTGTGGTGCAGTTGAAACCCTGGAGGGAAGGGACACCAACCAGAGGGACCTGGTCTGTGTAAACATCATGAAACTTGACAAAGTGAAGTGGAAGGAGGTCCTACACCTGGGTCATAGCAATCCCAGATACACCAACAGATTGGTTGAGAAGTGATTTGAGAGCAGCCCTGTCACAAAAGACTTGGGGTTGATGGAAAACTCAGTATGAGCCAGCACTGTGTGCTCACAGCTCAGGAAACCAACTGTGCCTGGGCTGCAAAGAAAGGAGAGTGGCCAGCAGGGCACAGGAGGTGATTCTTCCCTTCTACTCTACTCTTGGAGTACTTCACCCAGTTCTGGTGTCCCCAACATAAGGACACGGAACTGCTGAAACAAGTCCAGAGGAGGCCACAAGGTTGATTAGGGGACTGGAGCATGTCCCCTACAAAGACAGATTGAGAAAATTTGGGCTGTTCAGCCTGGAGATGAAAAGTTTGTGTGGAGATCTCATTGCAGCCTTTTAGTAGTTGAAGGGGGCCCATGGGAAAGCTGGAAAAGGACTCTGACAGGAAATTGTAGTGATAGGACAAAGAGTAACGGATTCAAATCCAAAGAGGGGAATTTAGACATCAGGAAGAAATCCTTTACTGTGAGGGTGGTGAGACACTGGGAACAGGTTGCCCAAGGCAGTTGTGGATGACCAAGCTCTGGAAGTGTTTAAGGCCAGGCTGGATAAGGCCTTGAGCAACCTGGTCTAGCGGGAGGTGTTCCTGCCCATGGCAGAGCAGGTGGGAACAAGATGATTTTTAAGGCCCTTTCCAATCCTTAACATTCTATGATTTTATTATCTGTGATTTTATAATCAAAATTCTATTTTGATTATTTAGAAATATCCATTATTTAGGAATATCTTTGGTGAAACAAGTCATAGACTATATCGTGACTTTCAGGTAAACCTGAAGTGATCTGTTCAATTTCTAGGAAACATTTTGCAGATTGTCTTTGACAATTTCCCAGGAACTCTTCTCTTCAGGTATCCCATAAACCCTTTCTCTCAGGCAATTTATGGTGTCAGGTTAGACTCCAGAGTCTCATTACTACAACAAGCCTCAGGATATCTCACCGCTGCTGTGGTGCGATACCATAGTAAATACATAATATTTGCTGTGTGGAAGAGAAGCTTAATTGCTTCTGCTGAACAGTGGCTGTTTGTAGGTTCTGCCTACTGCCTATTTACACTCCTTTCAACCTGTGCAGAAGAACTGAATTCAGAGTTTCGATCCGGATTAACTCTTTTGCAGGTCAAAACCAGAAGCCTTTTTACACCCTTACAAAACACATCTCTCTCTGTAAGATCAGTGACCAGATTTTCTTTCAAGTATGTCGTTCATGACTGAAAATACATTAAACCTCTATGTGGTTTCAAGAATGCCCTTTCTTTGCTTCTGGAACCAAAACAATTTAAGAACCATATTTCATTGCTGGGGGCTATTATATGATAAAGATAAATGGTCCAGAAGAAATCAGTAGAACTACTCACTGAATGACTTCATGTCCATAGTCTGAATATAATTCTACAAAATGTCTCTTTGTCCCATGATTATGTCAAATGACAACTATTTTTAAAAAACATCACCTCTAGTACTTCATTATGTCTCTTTCCTGTATAAACAAGTTCAAAATAATATAAGTATCCTGTAATTTGACATATAGAAAAATATATGAGAACACCACAAGTAAATCCTGGGAAACAATCTGTTTTAGTGTTTCCAGATATTCTCACCCTTCTTTTTCAATGAGAATAACTCAGATTGCACAGAGTATTTTTCTACTTTGTTCCTTGCTTTTACTCTCGGATGTAGCTGATTGACAAGAAGATAAAGTAAATTGCAAAAGGAATGTGTCCTTCACAAACAGAGATTCTTACATTCCTAAGAATTTTATTGTTTTTTAAAACAAAACAAAGCAAAAGAAGAGAGACATTTCAGGGGGAAAGAAACCACAAACACAAGTAAATGCGCTTTATCCACCCCACCCCTTGCCAGACTTCGAGTTTTTATTTCTCCTATTGTGCTTCAGCCAATTTGTTGGGCTGTGCAAGGAAACAATGAACACAAGAAGGAAATACAGCCTTTAAAAGTAAATCAGAATAAATACAAAGTTTTTATGATCATATATGACAACATTACATTTTCCACATGTAAAAATTGTGGTAAATGAACCAAGACAGAAAAAACACTGTAAAAAACCCCCACTACTACTAGTATAATTTATCTTATGAAGACAAGTTTCTCACCTATCAAGCTTCCTACTTTGTAATTTATTCTGTGTAAAGACCAGAGAAATTGACATATAAACATGAAACTTCCATTTATTAAATACTTGAAAGAACTTCAAGCTAAATATTTACTAAAGTTAAAAAAACAGCAACCAAAACAGATACCTCACTTTTCCTAATATATCTTTAATCTAATCTGTATATCTACATTGATCATCTTTACATATGACACCACATGAAGTTAAGGGAAAATTCAGGTTCCAAAGCCCAGTTTTGCCTGAAAGATAACCAGGTAATTCAAAATACTTAGTACCATGTATGCAGATTGTTTTGAGAAAGTCCAACAACTACCTAATCATTCCTTAGGCTACATATTTCTGGTTTTAATGCACTGTGAAATCAAAGGTCTAAACAAAAACACAAGATAGTTTTCAGTGACCTTCTTAGTACTTCTTTTCTTCTATGAAACTATTTACAACAGGTCCTTCTTCTTTCTGATTATGCAGTAATATCTGAAGTGTTTTAACCAGGAATCCCACATTAAATTTTTTGTAAGAAATTCGAATTTTTGTCATCTTCTCAGGGATGCTATCAGAATTCAACAATTTAGCACTTGTGAGACCTCACAAAGTCAAATTCAATAGTCTTCTCTTTCGATTAGGCAAACAAGGCAGCAGAAAAACCTGCAAACTTCAGTAGTTTAGAAATATCACGAAAGTAAACAATGCTTTTGAAAGTTACTTCAGATGCTTATGTCCATCTCTATACTCTGATCCTTAACCACAGAAGGTTAAGGGTTGGAAGGGACCTAAACGATCATCTAGTCCCAATCCTCTTGGCCATGGGACACCTCATATCACACCAGGCTTCTCCAGGCCTTTCTGGGCTGTGAGCACACAGTGCCAGCTCATGTAGAGTTTTCCATCAACAACCACCCCCAAGTCTTTCTCGGCAGGGCTGCTCTCAATCCGTTCTCCAACCAATCTGTAGGTGTGTCTGGGATTGCCACAACCCAGGTGTAGCACTTTGTTTTGATGAACTTCATGAGCTTCACACAGGCCCATGCACATCTCTCAAGCCTGTCCAGGTCCCTTTGGATGGTATCCCTTCTCTCCAGTGTGTCGACCGCACCACACAACTTGATGTTCAGTGAACTTGCTCAGGGTGCCCTCAATCCCACTGTTCACGTCACTGACAAGGGTGTTGAACAGTATCGGCCCCGGTACCAATCCCTGAGGGATATATACATTCCCCTTTGTTTCTTGTTGAATATTTCCAAGCACAAGAAGCACTAAAAAAAGAACAAACAAAAACCAGCAGGCTCTACTATCCTTAAAAAAAACAAAATAGATTCGCCTTCAGTTAAAATAGATAATTGAAATAAAGCCCAAGTGAAGACAAGCTGTAGTTCTAATCTAAAGGTAGTAGTTTTAATTCCTATAAAAGAAGGCAGCATGAGGCTGACTCAAATATCCTAAAAATTAAGAGCTACCAGACAATGAAACCATAAGGAGAGGAAAGTCCTCATAGCTAAGGCATTACAAAAGACAGGACTGACCTAGTAATGTCTGGACTATGCATTTTGCACAAATACTGAAATACCATCTGGTTAGGGTCTCCAGTTCTGAAACTGCAAGGTTGTACCTCTAACTAAGGAATGAGATAACCGAATACTGCCACTATGTTATGTGAAAATAATTACATTTAAGTGCAAGTCATATAGGGCATATCTGGCACTTTGTAAATGACTATGCATTTCCAGCTAATTTGCATGTCTTGTAATTCTTTTGTACTTAAAGAAGGGAAAATCCAGAAATTATTTCTGGTAATACCTCTCTTACTCTGCTTACATTTAAAAAATTAATGTCAGCCAACAGTTCAATATTTTATGCAGTACTATTCTTTTAATAATTAATAAAACAGGAAAGTGCTGCAAGTAAATTCAGTCAGAGTATGGATCTAGAGAATGGGGTCATGAAACGGAGGAAGAAAAATTAATTATGTGCATTGTCACAGCCATTTAACTTTAATTACCTGCAAATATCAGAAAATTGAAAAGGAAAATTAAATACCTCAGTGTCACAATGTAGCATCAATGCAATGACACTGTTCATTGGAACCTACTAATTACTTTTGCTTTCTGTGATTTTTTTTTTCTTATTATATGTGAATAGTAGTAAGCACTTTCTTGGATGGGGAAGAAGCAGTGGAAGAAGCTCCTAAGAAGAATTTTGGCAAGGGCACAAGGGAACATGAAAAGAATGACTAAAAGGAGAAAAAAGCCTTCAATTAATCTAGTTATTTTAAAGTAAACTCAATCAAAACAAAACATATTTCTACTTTACTTTTTAAGAAATGTTCATATCCCATGAGAATTTCAACACAGGTACAATGGTGCACAATATGCAATTGATACTGAGTTGTTTTAGCAATTTGATATTCAGATATTTGTCAAAGAGTTTGACAGCAATTATGAAAAAAAAAAGCAAAAAAATAAAAGCAAAGTTTCTGACCAAGAGTGAAAAAAAGCGTACACTTTTGATATCTGGCAAATTACTTTTCAGTCACAAAGAAAATGTCACTGTATTGAGAGGTAATAAATACATACTTACGACTAGAAAAATGTCAAAATGGACCAGTGTCATTCAAATTAACCTAAATGTCATAAGGAGAGACTGTTATTGATTGCTCAGAATCATATCTCAACCATGCGTGTAATCTTGACCCAAAATAATTCCCAGTTCTCTCCATCTGATCTCAGCCTTCTCAATTCTGCCAGTCCTTTGTTCTCTAGGATTTGTAATATTTTTTTTAATATTATGGTTGTAATGAGACAGCAGCTAAAAACTGAACACATCAAACATTTCACAATATGCGACAGGTTTTAATGATTATGTTTATCTCACAAGTTATCATACACACGAGAGGATGTGAGCTACTTACTCCATAAAAACAAGTTTTCTTGCTACATCAAAAATTACACAATTGGAAAAAAACCCCATAACTCACAAACAAAGGTTTACTATCAAAGCTTACAAAGACTTCTCCACTTTAAGGATAACTGCGTTGTCCTGTGGGATTATCAGTGAAATTACCAGTGTCACACAGATAAAGATAAAAAACATGTTTAGAACAAGTCAGTGAAAATGAAGTATTTTTCTTCCATTAGTATGAGGATGTATGGATGAATAGATATACCACTTTCTTGTACTAACTTAACAACAATTTTCCCTGCTGCAACCATTGTGGCTTACCTTTGTTGCCTTGGGTTCTGATTCGCCTCCTGCCCACCCACACCCCTCATTCACAACCATGCTTCTTTCCTTTGCAGAATTTAACTGGGCATTGTCCATTTATTTAGGTTCTGTGGCAAAATTTGGTATTCAGTCTCTCTCTATATTGCAAATTGGAAATTGTAACAAATGAAAACAGAGCTAGGAAAGAATAAAGAGGGACAGTAAAAAATGCATTTACTACTTGGCACTATTTAATATTTGGCTCTCATGTAATCACTTCCCTAACTTTCATAACTGGAGGATGAACAAGTGTATTTTTCTCTGCATCTCCTGAGCTCACTGAATAGGAGATTCAATAAAAATTAATTCAAAGTGCAAACATCAGAAAAAGAATAAACTAAGATACAGCCAGATGACAATAGCCACTCTTGCTATTTGGCTTTTTCTTCTGTTCTGGGTGTTTTCTGTGTGCAGATGATGGGATTTTTTTTTTTCTTTTACATTAATTGTAATCTTCTCTCAAGGTGTTCACAGTTGGCTATACAACAAACTGTATTATATTCTGTGTCTGTGAGCACTAACTACAATAGTAGGAAGTTTTAACCTCCTGTAGGAGGAATTTATCTAAATAGTAGATTGCACTTTAGAATCACTGCTTGCCCAATCAACAAAATTCTTCTGATTTTTGGACACGCTTTCAGAAACAAACTGCTACTCATTCTTTAATCATCTAGGCTTGAAAATGGCAAATCCCAAATAAAGTTTTATAATCTAAACATACCGGAGGACTAGCACAATATAACTATTTACACAACTTGAACCATTACAGTTTGTCTACCAATTCATTCATGATTCTACCTATCATTACCAGAAAAATAACAGAAATTCAGTTTTTGCTCTATTATTCATGCTCCCAATTTTGTATTGATAATTCTGGAATTGTTTCAAGTTGAATTGCTGACAGAAGACCCTACAGCCAACCACAATTCAATGTCTTATACTTTTTGACACCTTTGCATTTTATCCTATCTCCCACAGAGTCTGCCTTAAACTAGATGGTATTTTTTGACTTCATATCTTGCCCATGGGCTTCTCCTACCTAGTAATTCCAGCAGCACCACGTGAATTGAAAAGCAGATGGATGGATCTCTAAAGGAACAGGTTCTTTTAACTCTAAAGAGAGTTTAATAAATAAATAAAGAGAGTGGTAAGAGTGTTTTGAGCAGGCTCATTTGAACAAAGATTCCTTACCTCACCTTCCACACTCTAAGAGCAGTTCCTTTGTTTCTTACTGACACAGTGCTCAGTGAAGTGGTGAAAATAGTTTGAGCATCCCTTCATCAGTTCCTACAGAGGAAGGACGAGAATGCCCTCCTGAAGAGTCCCTAGGATGACAGCATTTCAAGTAAGTTGCTTGGCAAGACTTACTCTCAGGCATCCCATGCCATTTGTGAACCCGTGCTCACCCAGCAGAGGTAACACAGAAACTACGAACACAATCCAGTAAGTGCTACTCACTTTGCACAGCATGAAGTTGTGACATGAGCAACAAGGTAAATTGGCAATGAATTCTTAAAGCAGATGTTGATGTGACTGACTTTGCTGAAAGATCAAAACTCTGGAAACTCAGAGAGCAGTTTGTGTTGACAACTCCTCAGGCATATTACAAGATGGTCAGTGAACAGCTGAAAAGAAACAGAAATGCCTAAGTGTTTCATAAATATTTAATCACACCATCTTCCAAACTGTAACAAACAGATGTGGACCACGTTTCTCAGAAGCTGAGACTAAGAAAAGCTCCCCCTGCTTGACATATTGCCAAAGTTCTCTTTCACTGACTGGAGTTCTAGATAGCATATAACCTTGACATTTCAAATTCTAGGTCCTTTTTAGAAGACAGCACATCAACTATAACCTGGTAACAATGCTCTTAATTAACCAGTTAATGAGGTCAAAGACCACATCTTCTTGTCATCTGCAGCACCTTTGGTAAACCTTTCCTTTCTACTGAAGACAGTGAAGTATTTTGAGGGGCATTTATGGAGTACTATGGTATTTTAATTTACCAGTAAGTTTTCTTAACAACCTGATTATACTGTTTGCAAATGAAAGCATGTTCAGCAGCTTATATTCATCTCTGTGTGGAGTGAGAATGTTACAAAAAAGTCAGACAGAAGGGAGTAAATAAACTTGGAAGGAATAACCCTTTGATAAATGCAGTGCTGAGTAAGAACATTCGCATGATACCTTGAAACTTTGCACTTTATTGCCACAAACAAGTTCATAAATCACCCTGAAGGTCTTGGCTCAAAACCATTATGTTTACCTGCAAATGTACAACCTATTTTAATCGCTTTATTATGATGCATTGTACCGTAGAATTCCTAGGATCTCATATAAATACAAAGAACTGGCTGTAAAAAAAAAGGGTAAAAAAGAAAGCATATGGCAGCATTTACCTCACCTACTAGCAGGTCACATGTTTTTCTAGTTTGTTTCAAGCCCATCAAACTGTGTATCAAAGAACACCCAAATTCAATTGGAAAAATGGGGGAAACTGAATGAAAGAAAAAGTTGAACCCCTCTGGGAAAAATTTGACTAGGATACTAGAGCTAAAAGGCCATCACACATGGGAAGACAAAAACTTCAGGGTTTTGGTATTTTTTAAATTTATTTCTTTTCATAGAATCACAGAATAGTTTAGTTAGAAGGGACTTTTAATGGATCATTTAGTCCAGCCCTCCCCACTTGACCTTGCTGAATCTCATGAGGTTCCCACAGGTTCACTCTTCAAGCTTGTCGAGATCCCTCTGGATGGCTTCCCATCGTTCAGGAGTGTCAACTGCACGCCTCAGCTTGGTGTTATCTGAAATCTGTTAAGGGTGCATTTGAGCCCTCTGTCTAAGTCACTAGTGAAGATATTAAATAATACCAGTCCCCATTTGGATCCCTAAGGGCACCACTTGTCACTGATCTCCATCAGAGCACTGAGGCATTGACCACTACTCTCTGGATGTGACTGTCCAACCACTTCCTCATTTATCAAATCCATCTCCCTCCAATTTAGAGGAAGGGATGTTGTGGAAGACCGTGTTAAAAGTTTTACAGAAGTCCAGATAGATGACACCCGTAGCCCTTCCCTTCTCCACTGATCTAGTCCCTCCATTGTAGCAGGGATTACAACTGGATGACTTTTAAGGTCCCTTCCAACCGAAACCATCCTATGGTTCTACAGTTTACAAGAGAAATTTCTGCATACACTACAGAAGACCTTGGACTATCCGCCAAGGCAGTAAAACAGCATAGGATAAAGAGACCACTCAGCTAGAAAGGACCCAGGTACAAATAAATGTTGGAGAGGGTATTACATTACATGTCACAGAAATAAGTCTAAAAAGACTGCATGTTGAGGGTGTTGTATTAAGTTAATCTACCATCATATTTGATTGTTACTACCAAAGAGAACATGAGCTAATTGAAATCCCACTTCCAATTAACTTCAAAAGAATTTCTGCACTGGACTGACAAATACTTTTTAAATTTGTAGTAAAGAAGCATTTCAGGTGTATTAAGTGAAAAGATTTCAAAGCAGAAAATATCTTGTTGGCACTGGTGTTGCCTAGGGGCATGCCAATTTAACAATTCCAGATCTGGTCTTGAATGTGAAATACTGTCTTCTGGATACATAAAGTCCAAAACATACATAGATAACAAGGACTTGCATTCAGCCCTTAATTGAGACTATATTTTTAAGTAAATGCAAAAATAACTACCAAATGCCCAAGTTCACCGGCACGAGGACTGCAAAAAAGCCATACTTACACTTTTAAGCAAGTTCTTACATGAATATTTTGTAATTGTTCAGTGGTATGAAAAAGACTGTGGAATGAACTTTCAAAACTAAGGACCAAATTCTGCTATCCTTTTTGTGCATGGTAAAATAGTAAATTCGACTTAAATACATGTAAGTGATTTGTCATATGAATGAGAGAAGCAAACTCTCTTCCTAATTTCTCTTCTTATACACTGAGACCTAACTTCAAAATTTCACTTTTAAAAGTAAAAAAACACATCTAATTGTCCCCTTGACTCATAATAACCCAAAGAACTACCACTCCTCCAGAATGGCTGAAGTGTCTTTATAAACAGCATGAACTTTCATTAAAAAAATCTGAAACAAAATAGCTTCTATAAAAGATTTTGGCCTTAAAGAACTTTCAGGTGGTGAGGTCAAAAAAAAGTTTGCTTCAGCTTTCTCATAAGCTGAAGATAAAGGACTTTAATAAAATAAATGGTTATTCTAAAAATAAATTGATACTGGGAGAGCTAGTGAAACTGCCTGCACTGGAGTGGAAATCCAAAATAAAAAGAAGAATGTGACCAATTACAGAATGTGGAAAATCACAGAAGTGACTTTTGAAGTCAAATAGTTCAGTAGTTAGTGAAAAAAACAACAGACAGACCAAGTGACACAAAAGACCTTCAAAAAGGTTAAACAAAAAGAAAGCCTGATTTCGAAAAGTCAAAAGTGGCTGCAGAGATAGGAATCAAAAGAAGAAATACCTGTTAGAAGTAGTTTAAACCAAAAATTTATAAGGACAAGGGCATATAGAATAGAAAAGATGAAAGTAAATTAGTGATTCTGCAGAAGAGAAGTAGGACTACTGTGCAGAAAATACTACAAGAAAACAAACAAAAACAGGCAACAAGCTGTCAATTTTAGCAGGTTTTAATATTGAAAAAGTAATGGTGCTTGTATAAGCATCCAAAATTATGTGATTGGAGGCTCTTGTAAAAGTTACTTCTTGTGTCTCTCTTGGGGATTGGGTTGTACTGTTCTCACCATCAGTTACTTATTTACACTGCCACCACCCACATAAGACCCCATCAGATTCCAGGGCCTGAGCATCAGTCTTCTCCTGGCTCACTGTCCCCTGCATTATTTCATCTTTTTACCAAATTTAGTTTTACTACTTCCTCTTTTGTGGTATGGATAGAGGGATGGAGTAACAGAATATTTATTTTGTGATGTATGGGTTTACATCTGTCCTTAATGGGAAAAACAAAAAACAAACCCCAACATTAACAGCAGAAGACTACAAAAAAGTACACAGAAAACTACTTCTGCTAAATGTTTTTCTAACCTCCAAGAACCCAACGATCTCCCAGGCTGGAAGTGAGCCCTTGGAATTTAAAAACAGTTTAATCCTTGATGGATTTTTCTTCCATGATCTCACCCAGTTAACTTCCAAACTTCAAAGATATATACAAATTCCAACTGTAAAAAATTCCAGTGCTTTGATACCTGTGTGAAGAACTTTGGGGTTTCTTCTATGCAGCCCATCTCATATTTTGATCATTTGCTGGCTTTCTCTGAACCTCTTCTAGTTGTTTGTGAATTTTTGTGCAATTTATTAATAGGAGAGCTTTGGGCCTGAAAGGGAAAGCATGCATGCATTCAAGCAAGCAGATGTACATCTAACATTAAATAATATTTCAATGCTCTTGGGCACTGAATTGAAGTTTTCACAGAACTTGCTATTATAATCCAAAAATCTCATTGCTGGTAAGTGCCCAGTTAAGTGCATTTAAAAAAAAAAAAAAAAAAGATACAGTCTTTTGCAACTCTTCACAGCTGGTCCTTCTCTTTACCACTATAAATAACTTAATGTCATGATGAAATTTTATCACTTAACTAGTAAGTGTTCAGTATTACTGCAGAATATGCTGAACAGCATGGATTCACTGCACGCTCCACTGGTTTTTCTCTACAAACTGTAAAATAAAATTACAACCACTATGAAAACAGACCAATTACTGCTGCCTTGTTTAGGATTTTTTATATGAGACAGTGTTTCGTCTTATGACACGTAGTTTTATTGAGGGTATTCAGTGAGGGTACCTGCCAAGAGTGACCTCTGCACACCGCTTCAGTCAGATTGCTTCTGAAGGAACCACAAAGCAGGGGGGTAAAAGCCCCCAGTAACCCTGTGAGATATGTCTCCTGTTTCCAACAGCTGCACTGAGCCAGCCCAATACTGCATATATAACCCCGGACCTTTTAATTCTATTCTTTATCAGATTTTCCATTAAGTTATTTGGTACAAGTATTAATGCAGTCTACCTAGATATGTGGAAAGATATGCAGAAACACAGTCAATAATATGCAGCACTTGAGGAATAATCAGGGACTCTGATAATCTTAGACCACAGAGATGTTCAGACTCCTGGTCCTCACACTTGCCCACACTCTCTGTGTTGACAGGGAGGGATGGCAATAAGGTATGACTGTCCACAGAAAACTGACAGACCTAGAACTGAACATGAACTTTGTGGCCAAAAGATCATTCTGGGATACTTACCCTTATTACAAGAACCTCCTTTGCATCGTGTGTCCTGGAAGTTGAAAGCACTTTGATGTGAGGCAGGAATGACTTTGCAGGATGCATGTTCTTACATACATATCATGCAGTCTAACACACAGGAGATTAGCACCTCTTCTGATATGGATATTTTGTGCACCAAGTATTGATAAGTGTATACATCAACAAAATGATACTTACAATTTTTTATTACATGGCCCTCATTAAAAATGCTCATATAGAGAGCCTGCTTTGTGTCAGTTGAAACAATTTCTGACTATTAAAGGTTGTTTTTCTCTAGGGTTACTGCAAATACATGACCTCAATACTGATAAAAAACTCCAGCATCCAAAATCTCTATATGTTCACTAAAATTACTGTAACAGACAGTGTTTGTCAAAACCTCTGAATTACAATCAAAGTCTGTACACATATATTCTTTTAACTTCTGGGTGCTTCTGCCTTATATTCTCAAGATGGTATTTGGAACTCTCACCTCTTGCAGCAGAAGAAATACACAAATCACTTTCAACTGTTTAAGCATTAGTTACAGTAAGTCAGATTTACTGATGATTCCCTGATCTCAAAGCTACCTCTTACTTTTTGAAAGCTCTAGCAAGACTGCAGGCAGATCTGGCTCTGATGAAGCTGGTAAGGAAAATGAATGGAAGGGTGAGGAGGGAGAAAAAGCAAAAGCAAGAGACATCACAAGCATAATCTTAAATTGGATATGAAAATAACTTGTGTAAGGAGTAGAGCTTGAAACAGTACATACTCTAACAACTGCTCACCACTAGTCAAGCAGATTTAAGCATACAGTGCAAGCTGAATTGAACAGTAAACCTCAAAGGTTAAAAATTCACTGTAAGAAACCAGATTTCAGCTGATGATACCAATTTCCATATAACAAAGAAAGTAGAAGGAAAGCAAACTAGATGTGTCAGAAATTGTGAAGGCATGATGGGAAAAGAAAATGAGGTGTTGAATACATGAATAACAGTAATACTGTGATGAATGCATAAACAGGATGATTTGTTGGTACAATACAGCTTACACTGTTATGCCCATCAAGCAGCGGAGGAGTGCCTCAACAAAGAATTACAGAGTCACAGTGAATATGAAACTACCTATACCTCAGATCAAGCCCACTCATCCACAAGAAGGCACACCACTCAGATCAACAATGATTTAAGCCAGAAACAGAAAGTTACACAATCTCTGCAAATGGTAACATTACAACTAGAATTACCATTTCACAAAAACATTCTATAGTCTTCCAAGTTGTTTACAAAGTATTTTGTCACTACAAGATGTCAGGGAATTACAGATTATTAGGTATAAATGTTACACATAACAATATAGGAAGAAAAAGTAAAATAATTAACACTTTATGCCCCATTCCCGACTTTCTAAAATCAATTTTTTCTTGGCTAAACAGATATCACATTAAAAACAGAAAGAAATAGAGTTTTCATACATAATTCTACATTCACTTCGAACTATTTATTGATACCTGAACATGAATTCTGCCCCACCCCCAAAATTCTCAAAATCACATGTGATTTGACTGGGGTGGTGGGAGCTACCCCAGAACCTGGGCAGGCACAGTCCCTTTGGCATCACCATAGCACAGTGCAGCTTACCGTGCCACTGCTGCTCAGTCTTGCCTGGCACACTGACACACCCAAGCATCGTTTCTGATGCAAAACTACCATTCCCTGGACCTGCACCACTACTGCCTGCAGCTCTCAGGGGACACAGAGAGTTAACCTGTTTGAGAGAAGGAGGAAAACAAAAGAGAAGAAAAAAGTGAAACCCAAACTTCAGGTTTGACCAAACATTAACATGTTGTTAAGGACTCAGTCCAAATGCCTCTTAACCACAGAGAGGTTTGGGCTATTAACAATCTCTCAAGAAAGCCTGTTCCAGTGTTTGACTACCCTCTCACTAATGAAATCCTTCCTGATGTCCAATCTCAAGCTCTGCTGATGTAGCTTTGAGCCATTCCCACATGTCATGTCACTAGACCCCAGAGAGAAGAAATCAGTACCTCTCTCTCCACATCCCCATAGAGCGATGAGGTCACCCCTCAGCCGCCTTTCCTCCATATTAGACAGGTCTAAAGTCTCAGCCTTTGCTCAGAGTAAATGCCTTCCAGCCTCTCACCAGGCTGGTTGCCCTCCACTGGAGGCGTTCAAGGACCTTCATATCCTCCCCCAGTGGTGGGGCACAGTTTGCCCTCTCAGCTACCTGGGAACACTGCTGACTCTCCTTGAGCGTGCTGCTGACCAGTATCCCCATGTCCCTTTCTGCAGGGCTGCTCTGCAGCCACTCCTCTCCCAACTGAGACCTGTGCCAGGCGTTATTCCCTCCCAGCTGCACTGGTTCAATTTCATGTACTGATGTCGGCCTAATGCCCTAATCTATTCAGATCCCTCTGCAAGGCCTCTTATCCCTCAAGAGAGTCAACAATGCCTTCTAGTTGGGTATCATCACCAAACGTGCTAATGTGGCCTTCAACTCCTGAAACCAGATCATGGATCAAAACATTGGAAGCACAAGGGCAAGGATGGAGGCCTAAGGACAGCGCTGGTGATGGCTCACCAGCCAGATGTGGCAATTCACTGAAACCCTCTGAGTCCTGCCATCCAGCTGGCTCTTCACCCAGCGCACTGTGAACCCACCCAGCCACAGATGGACAACTTGTACAGCCTCTTCTCCCAGGCACCTCATGACAGGACAAGGAGAAACAGCTCAAGGTACATCATGGGATGTTGAGACTAGATATTAGGAAAAATGTATTCACTGTAAGAGTGCGGAAGGTGGTGGGGTCACCATCCCTGGAAGAGTCCAAAAAAAAGGGAGATTATGGCACTTCATGATATGGTTTAGTGGGCACAGTGGTATTCAACCAAAGATTGGACTTGATGATCTTGGAGTTCGTTTCCAACATTAATGATTCCATGGTTCTATGATGTCCCAACAATCCTTCTCCACTTCAAACTAGCAAGTGTAGTGTGGCTGTCAGAAAGTTAATTTTTTCAAACTTTTTTTTGGTGCTGAAGGAGTAAAGGGTCACATATGAGTTTTTTAGCCATCTGTTCTCACAGTGTTCTGCTTATCTCCTCATAACCAGAAGCAGCTTCACTCCCAGCAGTCTATAACTGCTTCATTCAATACACCACCACACCAGTAGTGCCAATAATGCCTGCTGTGCAAACCAGACACTTCTTCCCTCGAACTAATTGCATCAACTCCTCACAGTAAACTGAATACTTTCTCTGTTTCACCTCTGTTAATGTTTTCGGTTCATAAATATATTTCCTCTGGGACTTCCTGGAAAAGCTCAATTGAAATTTCTTCAAATATTTTTTTCAAAGAAGAATGCTCTGTTGATTGAGCTGTTAATTAAATGAGCTTTTATTGAAGACCTAGAGATTTTAATACTAATTTGAAACAGAGTTTATTAAAATATCCTACAATATCTTTAAAATCATTCAACACAGCAATTTTTATTACTCAAAATCAGCAAAGCTGTGAAGGAACACAATCAAATGTTTCTTTCAATGCTTCCAATCTATTGCGTCTTTGTAGTATATCTTGCAATTAAAAATTGCTAATCTCTTCATTACTAAAATAGTTCTTTTCTACCTCCAGAATATTGATTAAAAGCTCCAATCAGCATTTATTCAATAATTTCAGTTTCTTTTTAAATCACAGATAATGCCTGAAGGAATCAATCCTCTTCTCCTTGAATATCCCCTCTATTTAGCTATAGTCATATCCATCTTATCCTCTTTCTTGGACCAAAGCCTGCCTTCTTAAATTTTAAATATAATGATATTCTACTCATTTTCATCTCGCAAAACTGCATTATCAAACCCAAAGTTTCAAAACGTGATCAACAAAAACTCTATTCAAACACAGAACCATTTACAAAGTATTTATATATTAATATAATGTAGAAAACAATAAATAATAAAAAGCTAGAAAAATCCTACAGTGTTGGTCATGGTGTTTAGCTCAATCTAAAAGGTGACACTCTGTCACAGGGTGAACAAAATTCAGTCTGTAAGTGTGCTGGTGTTCACTTGCAGGCAGTTTTACTATAATCTTTTAACACCTGACTGGTAATTTTAACTATTTAGAAGTTATAGTGGATTGCATAAGTACCTCTAGTTCATTTGAACACAAAATGACCAAACTTAGTGTAATACATAGTTGTGTACACAGCACTTAAACATAGCCTTTGCACTGCTCCACGCTCAGCTGATGTCTGTACTCAGCATCACCTGTCTCACAGGTTCTGACTTAGCACAGGACAGCACAAACAGAGCTGAAATGACAGTCAAACCACTAAGTATAACATTTAAACTTGACTTAAGAGATTAGAGCTAGTCAGGTCACACTTCATCATAGGCAAACATTTTTCTTCCCTGCAGGAAGGTATTTCTGCATATGGGAACAATGTCATTGAAACAGCTCCATGTGATTTGAATCATAGCAAGTATCAACTAGCATATAAAAATAAAAATCAAACCAAATATTGATTTTAGCTCTGGTATATTTAGTAATAACCAAACCATCCATCATATTTTTAAAAAATTAATACCTGTGTTAACCTAATAATTCAAGACTCACTGTAACCTAATAATTCAAGAGTCACTGTATTTTTCATTTTCACTAAGAATTTAAACCCTTTAAAACAAGAGCTCCAATTCCTTAAAAAAAAAAAGACCAGATAGAAAGTACCGTGTTAATTAATAACTACAACTGAAGTAGAGAATTCAAGCACGTACAAAGAAGTAAACCTCCTAACAATGCTCCTGATATTCCTGCTGTCTGCTCATGTTTTCCCCAAGAGCTTTAAGCATGACCCTTTGCATCACTGTTTCATAAATCAATGCCTCTCAACTTTTTCAGAAAGTAAGTCTGTGACTGACCCGGTGACAAACTATATCTGATCTTTCACTTTTGCAAAGTCTTAAACCCTGTACAGAGGTGCACACTGTAGGGAGGGAAGGAACACGGTACTCTGTCAACAATTTCCATCTGCAAGACAGATTCTCAAGGCTGTCAGGTAGTTACATGGTGTTATACATGTTCAAATAGAGAGGTTTACAGATTAACATTGCTACACCTTGTTTGCTCCTACAGCCATGCAATTTTGCACAAAACAGGATCCAAAAAACAGTTATAGGCAAGTTAAGTGTCTATAAAATCCTATGTAGATGCGATTTCTACCTAATCTTTCTGGTGTAATAAACTCCTATGGTAGGAATACATTTGTTTATAAACAGGAAATGCTTTTTCATTTCCCATAGTAGACAAATACATTTTAATGTCTTGGTGAAATCTCCTGTAATAGTAAAGTAAATCTGAAGTAATAAACTGAGTTTTATGGGATTTTAAAAATATTTATTATTTATATATTTAACGGTTGTATTAAATGATGTTTCTTGCACCATAGTCAATACTACTGCTCACTTTCCCAAGAGTTTTTGGAGTACTATCTTACTTTACTTCCATTACATTATTTTTACTTGTTCTATCCCTTCAAAGTCTTCTTAAGTTTCATTTTGCATTAGGCAGGATTTCATAATTTTAAAAGCATTATTTGTATGTAAAACGATCCGTAATTTTGCTGTCCATTATTTTAATAAAATAAACATTTTAACAGCCTCAGAGATACTAATTACATTTTATGCGCCACTACAAGGCCTAAAAATATTTTAGGTAGGTAAAATGCCAAAATACTAATGGTTTTAAACCACATCCCTTTGACTTTCAGCAAGTGCTTAGACCACATGAGTATTTATGTAGCTAGATTCATTCAGATAGTACTTAGCAGCATTGGTTTAAGCAATCTTTTTACCAGGATCATAACCACACATACACAGTACATGCTGTTACCACAACTGTTGTGCTAAGATTGATACTGAGATTTAAGTAAGAGACTAGTTTAAACCAATTGCTTCAAAACTGTCTCAAAGACATATCCATAAACAGGAAAACAGCCCTCTCAAGTGTAACACAGCTATAATTTTAGGACTCCAAGTGTCAACACTTGAAAATGGAATTAAACACCGGAGTCTCTTCAAACTTGACAGGTTTATCACCTTCAATATTTGACTACTATCTCATCTAGCTCTGCAATACTTCTTGTCTTTTCTCCATGGTGAAGAGAAGGCTCAGGGGGATTTCATCACGGTATTACAGTACTTTAAGGGTATTTATAAAGAGTAGAGAGATTCTCACTTCACACGGAGCCCCATGGAAAGAACAAGGGGCAGCTGGCACAAGTTGCTGTAGGAGGAGTTTCATCTAAATACAAATATATATTTTTTTTACAATGAGAACAATCAAACACTGGAATAACCTCCCCAGAGGGGTCATGGAGTACCATCACTGGACAAGATCTCATTCAGGTTTCCCTTTCCCCCAAGAGGGTGGAGTAGACGATCCTCTGAGATTGCTTCCAACCTGGGCCATTCTATGGTCCTGAAATTATGGTCCAGGAGTTCCCATGTCAAAGAAAATACCATAGCATAAAGACAAGCAATCCTAGTCTTATGAAAACACTTAAGAAATAGAAACAAAATTATTTTTCCTACAATCCAGAGGGTAGCATTTGCCAACCATTTGCCAAGAGAGAAAGTTTTTAGTATGGTGGAGATCACACACTGGAGAAGAGTGTGACATTTTTGTAAGAAGCTACAAAATTCTACTTTCAGCTTTCCTATTACTGAAATGCAAAATACTTATGCAGGAGAAAAGGAATGTTTATTTCAATCAAGAAATGTTATTTCAATTTGTATGTTCTAACATCTTATACAACATGTTAAAATTTTCTACACAAATCAGTTTTCAATTTGCAAAACAATGATTCCCTATGAAGTTAGATACACTAACTCAAAACAAATAAAAACAAATTTCAAGTGATGAAGTGAAAACCCTCAATATTTACAGTCATCTTTTTTACAATCTTACAGATTGTTTTATATAATTGTCATTCTATTGTCAGCTGGTTATAACCTCAAAAAACCACTCCCTTCTGGTTGATCAAAGCAAGCACCTGTCAGACAAAATTAAGTTTTTTATTTTGCGTATTATAACTCACCTGCTTGGGAAGACGGAAGAGAGAATTTTTGTAAAATATATCTTTAGCCTGGCTCCATGTTCCATCAATGATGATCATAACAGATGGACGAGGAGACATCACTGCAACTTCCTCCAAATTGGTTGCTTCAGCTCCAGGATACAAAATTAGAGTACTGGGATTCCTACACACTGTTGCTAATTCAGGATACCTGCCATGCACAGAAACAAAATTAAAATAATTACTGAAAGTTTTCATGACAGACACATACTTTCAGATATGCTAAGTTACTAGCTCCCACTCATTTTCCCCAACTTTTATTTAAAATGGCCCTTTCTAAACTACCACTTTCTCTTTCTACACCTCAGAAGTTGCTGGTTCTCTCTCCAGTGAGCAGGAAAAAAACACTCACAAAAGTAATCAATCAAAGCTTGATAAAGCAATATATCAGGAATATTTTCCAACACTTTAATCACTAAGTCTAATGTCTATTAGAACCAAAAATATTTTGAATTATTTACAAAAATTTAACATGTATTCTAGCAAAATTTGTTCAAGTACTTGGCATAAAAGTACTCCAATCATCCCATTTTGAACCTTGTATATATAAAGAACATTAGCAATTTATGGTCCATGTCTACAAGACATTTTGGAAAATTCTATCATCTCAATTTATCTTTTTTTTAATTACTACTTCTGCTAACTATTACAGTTATAGTTCCCAAACTTTTATATTATCTTCTTCCTTCCTCTTGGCTTCTACATTTGCAATAATATCACAGGACTAACTGCTGCCTATTAAGCGTACAGTTAATGCACATGGAAACTCCTGACGTTTTTGCAGGACACCACTATAAGTTATTTATAAAAATCTATGGAAGACACTGTCATTAAAACAGCATTCTAAGACTCAAAAAGCAAGCCCAATCCAATCTGGCCTTGAACACTCAAGGGATGAGGCATCCACCACTTCCCTGGGTAACCTGAACCAGTGCCTTACACCCACCATGGTAAAGAATTTCTTCCTAATATCTAATGGAAACCTAATCTCTTTCAGTTTAAAGCCATTCCCCATTGTCCTATCACCACAAGTCCTTGCAGAAATCTCTCTCCAGCTTTCCTGAAACCCCCTTTAGGTACTGGAAGGTTTCTATAAGGTCGCACTGGAGCCTTCTCTTCTCCAGGTTGAACAACTACAATTCTCTCAGCCTTTCCTCACAGTTGATGTGCTCCAGCCCTCTGATCATCTTTGCAGCCTTCCTTGGACTTGTTCCAAGAGGTCCGTGTTTTTTTCTGCGCTGAGGGCTCCAGAGCTGGACACAGTACTCCAGGTGGGGTCTCACCAGAGTGGAGTAGTCACGTAGACTGCTAAGGGAGAATCTGAGAAAACGCTGGCCTTGTAACAAAGACTGCACTGTGTGTCTTCAGTTGATTTCTGCAGTATTATCACATAGTTTTCAGAATCGCCTCCATCAGAAAGAATGAAGAAATACAAAGCAAGGGAGGACTGTCTGAAGCATGTGGCAGAGAGCAAGAAATTAACTCTGCATAGTACCTCAGAGGTTATAAAGAGTATTTGGTAGTAGGAGAAAAGCAGTATGTAGTTGAAGTACCATGTCTCTATTTGTGTTCTGAAGTAGAAAGAAAAGCTAGTACAGTTTAGGTGTATCAGAATGAGATTAACAATAGCCAGCACAAAAAATGGGCTCTTCATGTTACCCATCAGGAACGACAAGGTGCAAGATCATGGACATGGACAGAGGCATGCTGTAAATATCTAAGTTCAGACAGAGAAATTCCTAATGTCACTGTGACCCTGGAGCTTTTAAGTTCCAGGAGCTGGGCACCTGTACCACTTCTCCAAAAATCATGCAAGAGTATCTGTTCTTGGGGAGCTGGGGGGAAGGTTAGGGAAGAAAGAAATGGTTAATAATGGATTCTGAGGTGATATATACTAGGTGTACTTCAAATCTGCACTCCATTATCACTCTCTGGGAATATATTTGAAACCACAATTTCATCAGTGTTAGGTTCGGGCAGGATTGCAGTGCCTGAGACATTGAGATCCTGAGATTAAGACTCATATAGAACCATACAGGAAGTATATGAAATGAAAGTGGAATTGAATTCAGTGTACCAATAAGCCCAGAGATAGTATTCCACTACCTGACCATCCTCACTGCCAGCTCCCTCCCTCCAGCAAACAGTCCAGACTGATTCAACACTACTTGCTTCATTACTGCTGAAATGGTTTGACCCTGGCAAGATGCCAGGGGCTTCTTTTTCTCCTCCCCTCTGCATCTGGACAGAGGAGAATAAAATACTGTAAAGGATTTTTCATGAGTAGAGATCAGGATTGAGAGAAAAGCCATTATTAACACAAAAAACAGCCTGTAGATAAAATTTAAGATTTATTACTAACAGACTAAAAGCTAAATTCATTGCTAACAGAATAAGAGCTAAAGAGTAAATGAATAAAATAGTCTTAAAACACAATACCTCCTCTCCCCGCCCCCCAACTTTCTTTCTCAGCTCTCCCTCTCCAGCAGTGCAGGAGAACAGAGGAGGGGAGGAGGGGTGTGCAGTCAAAATATTGTTGTTTTCCATTCACTGGGTAGCAGCAGCTTTTATAATCAGCACTTTGCAATCCAAAGACCTTCTATGGCTACAAGGGGATATACTACCATATCTTATATTATCATAGTCTTTACCACAGGCTACAGGGCAAATAATGGCTCTAAGTCCTTCCCCTGTTTCTGTGGGGTCCCCTCCCACAGGACACACTCTTTGATGGACTTCTCCAGCATGGGTCCATCTACCCCTCGGGCAACAGTTTCTTTCAGTCTGTTGCCCCATGGACTCCCCAAGGGGGTGCAGTCCTTCATGGGTTGAGCTGTACCGATGTGGGTCTCCCATCAGGGCTACAAGTCCTACCCGGGGAAAACTTGCTTCAGCGTGGGCCTCCCCCTCCACGGGCCACAGGTCTCCAGCAGGACTTCACTCCACCTTGGGCCTCCCACAGAGGATTACTGCTTCCTCCATGTATCTACCTGCTCCAGCATGGACTCCTCCATAGGCTGCAGGAGGATTTCTGCACCCCAAAGGTCTTTCATGAGCTGTAGAGGCTTCAGCTTTGCCCTGCTTCTCGGGAAGAGGGGGGAAAAGCTTCCCCCTCTTTTCACCCCCTCCAGCTGCAATGACCTTGATGACTGCTCGCTCTCCCTAGGACTGGAATTTCTTCTGCGACACAACTTTCTCTTCCTCTGTTCTTAAATATGTTATCACAGAAGTGCCCTAATGGGCTCAGCCTTGGGTATTAAGCAGGAAATCCCTCCTGGAGCTGGCTATCATTGGCTTTTCATAGGGCAGTGAAAGCTTCTAGTAGCTTCTGACAGAAATCACCCCTCTGGGTCCCCTAGTACCAAAAATCCAGCCACCTGAACCCATGACAACTGTCAATGTTATTTGCAAAGAAAAAAAAGACTAATGATCTTTCCTTCCAAAATGAATGGGAAAAGAATTGTAAATAGAGACAGGAAACCTGCAAGATAAGTCTGGGGCAAGCACATGGAAACTTTTCTGTTCATTATTTTTCTAGACCTTACTTACATTATGGCAATTTGGTATCACTTTAGTTTAACCAAGAATCTTGTCACACAAGCAAGGGGTCATCTCATTACAGACTACCTGACAGTCAAGGCTTAAATCTAGAAAACTGGTCATTATTTTCACATTTGTCTTGAGAACCCAATTGCTCAAAGATCTAAGTATTCTAATTCTAGGATAGAACAGATTTAAAATCATTAACACTCTTAAAGGATTAAAAAAATATTAAAACAATGGATTCTTAAAACTAATCCAAACCCAAAGTGATTATGAAGCACCAAAAGTTCATATTACAAACACTGCAACTGAAGTTTTAGTCTTGAAAATACAGCTCAGTTGAAAAAGAATGGTTTTCAATGCATACCCTGCCAAGAAGCACAGAATCATCATAGAATCATGTAATGGCTTAGGTTGAAAAGGACCTTAAAGATAATCTGTTTCCAAACCCCTGCCAGGGGCAGGGATACCTTCCACTAGACCAGGTTGCTCAGAGCTCCATCAGACCTGGCCTTGAACACTTCCAGGGATGGGGCATCCACAACTTCCCTGGGGAACCTGTTCCAGTGCCTCACCACACTCATAGTGAAGAATTTCTTCCTAATATCTAACGTAAACCTACTCTCTTTCAGTTTGAAGCGATTGTCCCTTGTCCTGTCCCTTGTAAATAGTTTCTCCATCTTTCTTGTAGGCTTTCTGCAAGTACTGCAAGGTCACAATTAGGTCACACCAAAGCTTCCTCTTTTCCAGGCCGAACAATCTCAATTATCCTAGTCTTTCCTCATAGGAGAAGTGCTCCATTCCTCTGTTCATCTTGGTGGCTCAGTCCTTTCAACTGACAACAGTTTATATTAAAAAGTAAAGGTAGGGGGCTGATTCAAACAAATTTTGCAAAGTTGTCCCACAAGTTTACCCTAGAGTTTGCGGGCTGATAATGCCATAAGAACTCATAACACTTTACAAATTAGGAGGAGTTGCAGCTATCTTCAGAAAGTTCACTACCATACACTTAATCCCAGAGTGGCATTCAACACATGAAGAGTTATTTAGTGCTCTTTCCTTTCATGGGACAAAGTTCTTAGAAATACATTGCTGTGCAATCCTTTTTAGGTTACGGTTCAGACTGACATTAGTAGCTTTACTAAAACACATCTTGCATTCATAAAACACACTTGTTCTTCCCTCACTGAAACAGCACAGGAGGAATGAGTGAAGCATAATCACCTAATGAGCTGCTTAAAAACTAGTTGCTTGTATAAAACAAGTTCAAAAAAAAAATATATCTATGTATTTCTATATAGATATATTCTGTTAATTCCACTGCAGGTTCTGCATTTGCTGAGTTTTAAAGTTTGTTTCCTGTTAGTTTGTTGCTGACATGTAGCGCAACTAGGCTTTTCCTAGTCGTATAGTACCACCATTAAGAACTTGTTCCCCCGAACAGTTTTTAAGTTCATCCTTCAGCTGCAATTAATTAGATCTGTGAAAGAAATGAAAACTCTCAGTAGAAGACTAAATTTGTATATGGGAAATTATAGATAATGTCATACACAAGGTTTTTTTGCATTTCTTGCCATCTTATGGCACACAGTTGTACACAGTCTCATA